TTTTGGGGTGTGTCTATGCTTGAGTGGAATTTTTCTTTTGGAAATTGGAAATAGTTGCATAGTGGTTTTTAAAGTGAATTAAATGGGTGATAATTCACAGAGCCCCCTTTCCCAACAAAATAAAGAAAAGGTAGGTTAGACAGATTATTGGGATTAGGATGTTGTTTTAAGACAGGAGGTGGAAGACTACGCAACCTGTGTGCCAAATCCAGCTTGGAGCTAAGAATGATTTTTATATTTTAGTTGGTGGCAAAAAAAAAAAAAAAAATCCCCCAAAAGAACAATATTTTGTGAGTTGTAAAATAAAAACTACATGAAATCCAATTTTCAGTGACCATAGATAAAGTTTTAATGCAGTATACTCATGTTCATTTATGTATTTTCTGTGGATGCTTTTGTGCTATAAGGGCAGAGTGAAGTAGTTGTGGCAGACCGCATGGCCTGTAAAGCCTGAAATATTTACTGTCTGGATCTTTACATAAAAAATTACCATCCCTGTTTTAAGATAACAGTGGGGGCATTGAATATTGCTTTTGCATTATTTGGTAAAGGAGGAAACTTACATTGCTCATATTTTAAACGTGTTTCTGAAAATAATCTAGAAAGTGCCTATTGTTTGCACACAGATAAGTGATGGTAGCAGCCACCCGCCTTTTGTTTTTGAGACAGAGTCTCTGTTGCCCAGGCTGGAGTTTAGTGGCACGATCTTGGCTCACTGCAACCTCCACCTCCTGGGTTCAAGGGATTCTTCTGCCTCAGCCTCCTAAGTAGCTGGGATTACAGGCACACACCACCACACCCAGCTAAGTTTTGTATTTTTAACAGAAAAGGGGTTTTACCATGTTGGCCAGGCTGGTCTCGAACTCCTGACCTCAGGTGATCCACCTGCCTCATCCTGTCAAAGTGCTGGGATTAAAGGCATGAGCCACTATGCTGGGCCCCTTCTTTTATATACAGTTGAGATGGAGTTACCAGAGCATAGTTTGCACTGTCAGTTCATGCTATAATTTCTTCCATAGTTGAGAGGAAGTCCATGGCACCATTACTGCCCACAAATACTGGCAACTTATAATTACATCTCTGTGCCCAGTACATTATAGAGCTACTGCTCTCAAACTTTTTAGTATTAGGACTTCTTTAGAGCTTTTAAAAATTAAAGACTCCAAAACTTTTTTAAAATATGAGTGATATATATTAATATTTATTATATCAGAAATTAAGGAAAGTGTTTAAATATTAATGTATTTAAAATAGCAATAATTCATTATATGTTAGTAAAGAATAGATTTTTATGAAAAATATTTTCCAAAACAAAAAAATTAAATTTTTATAATCTCTTTAATGATTGTTGTAGTAGATGAAAACTGGATTCCTCTGTTTCTCCATTCAGTTTGTTGTGATATGTTATTTTGATTGGAGCATATGAAGGAAATCTGATCATACAGAGATATATAGTTAGAAAAAAAAGGAATAATATTTTAATAATTTTTTTTTAGTTGTTGTGGGTGTTTTTCTTTAATACCATACCATGACTCAAGATACGACAGTTTCTTTTCTTTTTTTTGAGGTCAATTTTATTTACATAGAATAAAATGTATTTTTTAAGATAAATAATTCCATCAATTTTGATTAGAGTGTATGACCAATACATATTATACAATCATGTACTACCACAGTGAGGGTATGGTGTTCCCATTTCCTTCATCCCGCAAAGTTTCCTCATGCCCTTTTGTAATCACTTCCGTTTCCCTCACTCTCAGCTTCTGGCAATATCTGAGCTAATTTCTGTCTCTGTAATTGTGGCTTTTCCAGAATATTGTGTAAATGGAATCATACAGGACAGCCTTTTGAGTCTGTCTTCTTTCACTTAGCATAATGTTTGAGATTCATCCATGTTGTTGTAGGTATCACAAAGTCATTCATTTTGTATGGATCTTTGCCTATCCATTCGCTATTGATGGCCATCGGAATGCTTTTAGAGTTTGGAGATAAAAAGCTACTCTCAACAGTCATATACAGATTTTTACATGGACATATGTTTTTATGTAAATACTTACACATGTGATTTCTGGGTAGTATGGTAGGTATATGTTTAAGAAGCTGTAAAGCTGTTTTCCAAAGTGGCTGGGCCATTTTGCTCTGCCACCACCAATATGTGAAAGTTCTAGTTGCTCACATTTCTAGCAATACTTGATATTGTCTGTTTGTGTTTTTGTTTTGTTTTAGGCATTCTAATAAGTGTTAGCATTTCATTGTGGTTTTAGTTTGCATTTCCCTGATGATTGATAATATTGAGTAGCTTTTTTCTAAAAAACCTTTCCATTCTTTTATCTTTGGCAGAGGACCTGTTTGAATCTTTTGACCATTTAAGTAATTGGACAGTGTTTTTTTTTGTTTTTTTTTGTTTGTTTGTTTGTTTGTTTTTTATGATTGACTTGTAAGAGGCCTTTATATTTTCTAAGCATCAGTCCTTTTTTAAAAATGTGTTTTGCAATTATTTTCTTCTAGTCTGTGACTTTTTTGTATCTCCTTAGCCTTCAAAGAGTAGAAGTTTTCATTTTAGTGAGGTTCAGTTTATCAGTTCTTTTGTAGGTCATATGTGTTGTTCTATGAAATCTTTTATTATTCAAGGTCACAAAGATTTTTCATGTTTTCTTTTGGAAGTTTAGTACTTTTATGTATTATTTTAGGTCTATGATATGTTTTGCATTAATTTTTGTATATGGCATGATATATGGGTTGACATTTTTTCTTTTTGCATATGGATGTTCAATTGCTCCAGCATCTGTGGTTATTAAGACTATCATTTTTCTGTTGAATTGTCTTGACATCTTTTCTCTACATCAGTTGACCATTTATATGTGGGTCTATTTCTGGATTCTCTATTCTGTCCCATTGATACATATGTCTGTCTTTTCACTATAACCACACTGTCTTTATTACTGAAGTTTTATAGCAAGTCTTAAAATCAGAAAGTATGAATTCTTCTTTATACTTCTTTCCTTGTTTTCCAGATGAGACATAATTTTGTAAAAGCTAGTTGCAGTGGGGAACCTGAAACCATTAATTAACTTTCTGTCTTTTGTAACATTAAAATCTATTGCTCTGTCATGTACATTGAGTGAATTTTTTAACCCATGACTACTTTTGTAATATTATACATAATTCATTTGGAAAATATTGGTTCTCTGAATTATATAGACTTTCTAAATATTGACACATTTCATTATTCAATATTTAAAAGTCACATTAGTCAATATCACCACTGATCTAATCAGAAAATTCTTTTGAGTATTTTTTGAAACGTGTCATGCTAATGGTAGTAGGTAAAAGTTTTTGAAATTTTTATTTTTACTTGAAAACTTAAATATTATCATTGGAAATGCTTACTTGCTAATTGCTTTTCTAGAAGTCACAGGTTCACTTGGTTTACTTTTGAGAACATATCTGTCAGATACCGAAGTCTAAATAACCATAGTTTGTTAGTTTATAAGTCAGTCATATGGGGACTTTTTCTTGAGGCAACCATTGTACAGTTGATCCTTGAATAACATGGGTCTTAATTGTGTCAGTCTATACATGAATTTCTTCTCAATAAATGTGTTGGAAAAGAAGATTTGGGCTATTTGAAAAAACTCAGAAATGAACTTTGTAGCCTGGAAATATTGAAAAAAATTAAGAAAAAGATTTATGTCATGAATGCATAAAATATATGTAGAAACCAGTCTATTTTATCATTTACCACCATAATATATACACAAATCTATTATAAAAAGTTAAAATTTATCAAAACTTACACACACACTTAAAGACCATACATGACACAGTTTGCAATTGAGAGAAATGTAAACAAATGTAAAGATACAGCATTAAATTGTAATTGCATAGAATTAACTATAGTACATACTATGCTACTGTAATAATTTCATAGCCACCTCCTGTTGCTATTACGGTGGGCTCAAGTGTTGCGAATATCTGCCTAAAGCACCGTATGATGCTAATCTTCTCAGCTTGAGCAGTTTGTCTCTCCAGTAAATTGCATATCACAGTAAGAAGTGATCTCTTGAGGTTCTAGCATATTTTTCATTATGTTTAGTACAATACCGTGAACCTTGAATAACACCATGGGACCCATACAAAGTGCCACTGGTGATACTGGAATTGATCCTAAGAAAAATCCTGACATTACAAGAAAAAGTTGAATGATTTGATATATACCATAGATTGAGGTCTGCAGCTGTGGTTACTATTTGAGACAGATTTATTTTGTGAACAGAAGACGTAAACGTATTTTGATAAATACAGTTCAGTATTGTAAATGTATTTTCTCTTCCTTATAATTTTCAAATAACATTTCAAGTAACATTTTATTTAGCTTACTTTAGTGTAAGAATATAGTATGTAATATGTATAATATAGAAAATGTTTTAATCGACTGTTGATGCTATTGGGAAAGTTTTGGGGGAGTCAAAAGTTATATAGTGATGTTTGTTTGTGTGCAAAGTCAGTGGTTCTTACCCCCTGAGTTGTTAGGGGTCAACTGTATTTACTGTACAGCAGAGTTGTTTGCTTAGTTTTTATTTTGTCACACAGAATATTAAAAAGTAGTCTATTCAAGGGCCAATTAACAATTTCTGTGGCTTTTCATCAAGGATATTCTCAACTGAAGTGAAACTGTTGTCCAAAGAAATCTTGTGAGATATATATATATATATTTATTTCCTATTATAATTATTTTCAACCAAGAAAATCTTGTGATATATATGATTATTTGGTGTTGGCCAAAGAAATCTTGTGATATATATGGTTATTTCCTGTTATAATGGTTATTTTTATATTTAAAGTATAGGGATTAACCTGGAAACCTAAACCCAAAGTTATAACAGTGGGTAGACAGTACATTATTGATATTTTAGGAATACCGGAAATTGCTATCTTAGGGAACAGTCTCTTATATTAAGAGCTAATGTGGTTATATTGTTGTTTTTATTACCTTATAGGTGCTATACTTGGTAGATCAGAAACTCAGGAGTGTCTTTTCTTTAATGCTAATTGGGAAAAAGACAGAACCAATCAAACTGGTGTTGAACCATGTTATGGTGACAAAGATAAACGGCGGCATTGTTTTGCCACTTGGAAGAATATTTCTGGTTCCATTGAAATAGTGAAACAAGGTTGTTGGCTGGATGATATCAACTGCTATGACAGGTAAGGATGCATTTAAGATCTTATGATAGTATTGTATAATTTTCAACCTTCTCCTTCTCCCGTTTTTGAAAGAGGAAAGATTACTGCATGAATTTTCAATTAAATGTTTTTTGCTTTTTTTAAAAAATGGGGCTAAAAAGAACATTATAATATTCTCTAATGACAGTATATTTTAAAGTAATAAAATAAACATGGCATATTTATGTTTTATCTTTGATATATTTTGAATAATCTACCATGTAGGGATAACTCTAAAATAAAAACTGTTTTCCCCAGTGTTGTTAGAATTATAATCCTTAAACATGCCAGCATTAAAGAAAACATTTTAAAAATTGCTTTAAAAGAGTCTGTTGAAAAATCTATCCTCAAGAAGAATAAAACTTAATCATAGTGTTTAATTTTGTTTCATTTTCCTTCTTTATGTATCTGGAAGAAATAGATCTTACTACATTTTTTTCTTGAAAAGTAGGGCCTTTGCTCTTTACCTTACAAGACATTTTAACCTGATGTTCAAAATTTCATCACGGTACTCATAGAAAACTGCATACTTGTTTTAATTGCTTTATTCTGTACTGGAAGTAAAATACAGTGGTCATATTATTGACTGCCTGTGATCTTTCTGTATGGAATCCCATAGCTGTTAGGGTGATTCCTTAATTGCCTGGGACACAGAATTTCTATTGTGGGTGGATGGTGAAGACTGGCAGAAGCTGTGAAGTCGTAGATAAGCAGATATTTTGGAGCCAAAAAGTACTGCTGCATACAGTGAACGCTAGATACTTCTGGATCACTTTCAGGAGCCTCAGTTGATTACCTAGAATCTGTGTTTAATTATCTATAGTGACTAAAGGCAAAATTCATTGAATAAGCCCTTGAAAATTGGATTAACTGCACTTTTCATGAGAAATTAGAACACAGTCATTTAGATTTAGATATATATTTAGTATTTAGGATGTACTTCTAAGTATGTGACTTTTCCAGGGATTATTTCTATGTACTTATACATTTTAGCCACATTTTTGATTATCAGCCTCTACTAACAGAAGTGGTCAAGTGATATGAAAGGTAAATAGGAAGAGATTGGGGAAAAATGAGTGTGGGAGTCATCTTTATCCAAAACTGTCTTTTATTAATTAGTTGAAATCAGGGGTTCCTATTCATTTTTGTAGTAGAAAACTACTTTGCTTTTTACCTAAAGCCCATACTCCAGCTACGTGAGACTCAGATAATGCCGAAAAGAGTAGTGAGCCATTTTCACTGGAGTCTGCAGAGTGTTATTCAGTGTAAATTCTTGCTCTTAGAATGGTAATTACTATACCACCTTTGTGTCTGGGGGTAAAATGTTAACTTTAAGCTATACTTGAAGTTATACTCTAAATTTATACTCTAAATTTGATGAAAAACAAGTAGGATAGTAAGAGGAAAAGAAGATTCAAGAATTGTCAAAGTGTGGAAGAAAAGAATGATAAAAGAAAAATGAAACTGAATGGTGAAAAGTAACTATTGAATGAATTAGGCTAAGTTATCATGTTAATCTGCTGCCATTTGAGGCATGATTTTAAATATCAGATTTTAATTTTATACATTTCTTTTTATAAACTGTTAAAACTTAGCTTTCATTTGTCTTTAAAAAACCTTCTGCCAAATAGATGTTGATGTTGAGTGTATTTTAGTTTGATATTGTTAAAACTCCTATCTCCCTGAAATTTCTTCAGCTTTTCACTTAAGAATTAAACTCTACCTCACCATTCTGACAAGTATTTGAAATGTTCAGTTTATTTTTAATATACATCTTTTAAGTTTACCTGATGTTGGTTTTTTAAAATAGGTTTAGCTGTTTCTTAGTCGATGATTAGGATTTGTTTTAGAGGCTTAAATATACTACATTTCATGACTTAAAGTTCTATATTGAAGGCTGCTTTATTTAATTTAGTTTAATTCTAATCAGTTTGAGTTAGTAGGTCCTATATGATTATTGTTAAGTATTTGTTTTCTACTTGTTGCTCATCTCAACCCTGTTCGTTGTGTTCAAGGAATTTAAATCTGCACTTTAAAAAACAAAGACAGTTTTAATTCCTCAGCCTAGTTTGGGTCTCTTCTGTTGAAATGTTTCACCCAATAGATATGAGCTTTTATCGTTTAGCATGTGTGCATGTATTTATGTGTATACATACACACACATCCACAGTTCTATAGTTTTCAGTTTTACATACAGTTTTTGTGTTCACAAAATAGGAAAGCTATATTTCTTGTGAGCCAAAGCATTCTACCAAATTGCCTCATTGACTTTATGGCTCCTCTTCAAGCTTTTCTAATAATTAAAAATTCAAAAAAAAAAGATGGTTGCCTTAGGATGCTCATTAAAAAACCAGATTATAGCAATAGTCCCTAGTAGTCAGTGTAATTGTTATAAAATCAGTTGTTGATTTTTTTTTTTTAAAGAGATATAGTAACAGGAAGCCAGGAACATTTTTGTTTTTTAAGAATTATTAGATATTAGTGCAAATCTTGAATTTGAATATAAATGACTAATTTATTATTTTATTGCAGAATAAAAGCACCTATTGTAGGGTCAGTATAATAATATTGATTTTAATTATTTTTTCTCTCTGTTTATTTATAGAACTGATTGTGTAGAAAAAAAAGACAGCCCTGAAGTATATTTTTGTTGCTGTGAGGGCAATATGTGTAATGAAAAGTTTTCTTACTTTCCGGAGATGGAAGTCACACAGCGTAAGTTCATAGGGAAAATACATAGGTTTGCCTAACTATAGATTGGAAACAAAATATATTTGTGTTGATGGAATAATTTAGCCCTACCTCCTTATATTCTTTTTCCCCCCCAAATTTGAGACTGACAAATAGTTATTACAGAATTTTGTTGACCAAATCTGAGTTATTTTTCCCTCCCCTTTTCACAGCCACTTCAAATCCAGTTACACCTAAGCCACCCTATTACAACATCCTGCTCTATTCCTTGGTGCCACTTATGTTAATTGCGGGAATTGTCATTTGTGCGTTTTGGGTGTACAGGCATCACAAGATGGCCTACCCTCCTGTACTTGTTCCAACTCAAGTAAGTTATTGTCCTGTACTTTGTAGTGTTTTAAATTTTATATTTTTGAGAAATATTATTGTGGTGAAACCCACTAACTTATTATAAGTTATTTTCCTTTGGAGTTAATTTTTGAATGTTTATTGTCATGAGAACTGTAGCTAGTTTTGCAAACTTAATAACATACAGTCCTAAACTTTTCTCACTTAAGGGTTGAGGTCAAGTAGAATGAAGGGGTATTCCCATTGCTATTTCTCTTTGGAGAGCTCTACATTCATTCTAATACTTTTACGTATTAACCTGCTTTGCTTCTTGAGAAGTCATTTATGATGGAGAAGTGAAATCATAACCCTGTCTTTGCCCTCTGTCCCCTCTTCCATTTCTAAATTTCTGTGCCTTTTTCAAGACCACTTGCCAGAACATTTTATCCATGGGGATAGACCCAGGAAGAGGGATTTCATAAAGACTTCAGAAAGACATAAATATTTTTTGGGAAGAGAAGCTGAAAAGCAACCTTTGTTACCATGTGTTGTTGGTAGATCAAGTATTTTTGGGGGGTTGCCTCATATCAAGTGTGTACTGAAGATTAAAAACGTTTTTAAGGCTCTTGATTGTCACACACCACACCCCAAATATTTCTGGAAATACAGGTGTAGAGGGTAATCCAATTAAATTCATTTAATTTTCTATATTCTCTTACCATGTCGAAAGTTTGTGCAGGTCTACTGCTTTATAAGGACTTTTCATTGAATCATGTAATATTCTACAGGCCTACGAAAGCTGATAACTTTTGGTTTTACTTGCTTGAGACATCTCTGAATTCTAGTTTTTACTGTGTTTCTTTTAACTCTTAAGATCACATTACCTCAGCCTTCTGGATCTCTTGATATAACTTTGCTTCTGTAATACCAGAAGGATTAATGGTTAAAATTTGGTAGAAGAAAATGGTAAAGTCCTATAATTTAATGACCAAAACAGCTCCTTCCCTTTAAGCTTTATTTATATAACACACTTATTTCTCAGTGCTTGCAGCAATCTGTTACCATTAGATCATGGATTCCCATAATCTTTGTAAGATGTGTATATAAACAAATAAACCCAAAGGTACAATACCGTGTTCGGTAATTAGGTAATCATTATTTTTTACACCTTGAGTATTTAAACTTTTAAATATTAGTAACTAAGTTTGTGTTCATTAAGAATCATTTCTGAAAAGTGTTTTAAAATAAAAAGTTTTAATACCTAGTCTATGTAAGTTTACTCTAAATGGCCATAGGATTCACTTTACCTTCTGTCAGTGATAGCTTTTAAAAAATTTGTTTTAGTATCAACATTTAGAAGACAGATTAATTGGTATTATAATAGTTTCCTGAATTTACCAGCTCTGTGAGATGATAGAAACAAGCTGGAAACCACATTTATAAATAAATTTGTTAAGATTTTTTATAGAAAGAGTTTTAAAATGTAATGTAAAAGATAATACTGATGTGTGTACAGTATTGTTACAAAAATGTGCTTAAAGCTTTTCTTAAAGGGCTTTATAGCCTATGTATGAGGTAAAGTTTTAAAGAAATACTAAATAACTCAAGGGTTTGGACTTCTAAAAAGGAAAGATGTTATTATTTTTCATAAATAAGAAACAGAGATTTTTCTGTGAGTATCCATGTATCTCTGTAGATTTTAGATATTCATTATGGTTAAAGTTACTGCACGCATTTATTTAGTACTTGGATGCTCTGTCATGAATTTTTTGTGAATTTGTATGAATTTCTGAAAAATAAGGAATGTAAAGATTTTGTAATAGAGTGACCTGGTATGGTCAAGCTTTGCTATGAAAAATACAAGACAGGCCTGACTTTATGCTTTCCTTCATTCATAAACTATCTTGTGGAAAAAGGGCATTGTCATCAGTGTGGAACTTCACTTCTGTCATCTCTTGCAGTCTCTGAAGCAGTATGATGTCATGTTTCAAGTCTTCTTTTTGCTGAGAGGTTTTTGCAAACTGTTGTTCTGCAAGACCACTTGTCTGCAAGACTGCTTCGTGGCCATGATGTTACAAAAGGCTTAGCTTTATCTCCTATTTCAAAATAATGATAATTACATCAAGCATTTATTAAATGTTTTACAGTGTACTAGGGTTCTGTTGTTACATTATACATAAAGATATAAATTATATAGGAACATAAAAAGCATAAAATAACTTTTTTTCCCCAATATTTCCAAGTTGTGGGACTGATACCATCTTTGGAATTTGTTAAAAAATACAAATTTTGGAGCCGGGCGCGGTGGCTCAAGCCTGTAATCCCAGCACTTTGGGAGGCTGAAGCGGGTGGATCACGAGGTCGAGAGATCGAGACCAACCTGGTCAACATGGTGAAACCCCGTCTCTACTAAAAATACAAAAAATTAGCTGGGCATGGTGGCGCGTGCCTATAATCCCAGCTATTCAGGAGGCTGAGGCAGGAGAATTGCCTGAACCCAGGAGGCGGAGGTTGCGGTGAGCCGAGATCGCGCCATTGCACTCCAGCCTGGGTAACAAGAGCAAAACTCCGTCTCAAAAAAAAAAAAAAAAAAAAAAAATACAAATTTTGGGACCACACTTTTGAAAATATGGAATGGGGCCTGGGATGTTATGTTTTTAATAAGCTTCCCAGTCAATTCTAGTGACCAGCCAGGTATGGAAAACACTAATTTACTATTACCTCACACAGTTGTTTATGTTGTAAAATCCTTATTTTATAGATTAAAAAAATCTGACCCAAGGACTCTTTGACACTAAAGGTTTGTTCTTATTGCTTATGCTGTTCTGCCTCTTTTTTCAGAAAGCAAATGCCTTTGTTTTATATAATTCAGTAAATATTTCTACCATCTCAAAATCATCCTGTAGGCTAATTTATTTTCCTACTTTTGGATATTGAATAGTTTGTGTGACTACTAAAATAAGGAATAATATCATCTTACATTAACATTGTCTCACATAAAATGAAAGAGAAGAAGTCATAGAAATATAGGACATATTCATGTGTTTTTCCATTAAAAAAGTTCCAAAAATACTAAAGTACATTTTGGAATATGGTGTGTGAACCCTTTTTAGAATAGGGGTTATGAACATATGATTGAGTTGTAGATAAAAATTTCTGTGCTTGAGTGGATACTGCCAATTCCTATTAGTTAAGACATTTTTGAAGGGTAAGCAGAGTAGGTAGGAGAGATATTATATATTTGAAGTCTTAAGGTGACTTCTTTATTTCACCCCATATTCATGTCCTCATATTTCAACTTTAATTCCACACCAGTTAGGAAAAGATCTTACAGTCTTGCCATGGATTTCTGGAACATCCTTCCTCTGGATTCTTTTAAGTGCTTTTAGACAGTGCCATAAAAGTTGTCATTCTTAGGGAGACTTTTCCTCAAAGCCTTGGCTAAAGGTTGGTTTGTGAATGAACTGGTCTGTTGTAAGACATTGTTCTCATTATTATTAAGCAGGTTCTGGCAGTTAGATGAGGGATTCTTTATCTCTAAGACATCAAGTTGTTTATAATTTTTCCTGGTTGTGTTAGTATTTTATCCTGAAGAAGTGATGGAAGGGTATAAGTACTTTAAAGTCTGGTCTTTCATTATGGTTCCTAGTAATAAATAAAAATATGAATTCTAGAATAAATTTAGCACAGTTGAAGGCATAGAAAAAAGCAGCTTGTTGGTGGTGGTTGTTTTTTTTTTTTAATTTAATTAAAGCCATTTATAGTGGCTTCATTCACTTACAATTCATAAGTCTTGTATTTCTGTCATTGTTTCATGGTATCACTTTATTCTTATTCATCCTGGATGAGAGCCTTGGAGACAAGTATTCTTGGCTCTGTCATTTACCAAGTCCTGTTCATTCACCTTTTCATCCTTATTGATCCTGTTACCTATCGTTCAAGAGATTGTTACTCCTAAGGCTAAGATTATTTCTATAATCTCATAGTTGGTCTTTTGCTTCAGTTTCTCTCCTTTCATCTGTACTATTGCCAGAATAGCATTTTACATGTTTGATTATGTTACTTCTGTGCTTAAAATATATGTGGGCTCTCAGTGAGCCACAGCAAAAAATACGAAGTTTGGAGCAGGACATGTGGTCTTCCATACTCCCTTTGTCTTTTTGTACTTTCATCCCATTACACTCCAAGACATCTGTCACATGCATCTAGCATTGTATTAGTTGTAATCCATCCTTGATAGATTTGAGAAAATAGTACTTGAGTCATTCTTTCATTTGCCATTTAGATAAATAACTCTTGCTGAGAAGGGCTCATAATGTGTTCCATTCTCCCACTAGATTGTAAGCCTGTTGAAGATGAGGTATGTATGGTAATTACTACTGTGTCTTACATAGTATTTGTATGTAATAATCATTCAGTAAGTGCCGAATTGCTGAATTGAGTTTGTTGCATTTGGAATTATACTGAGATAATGTAGTATGTCCAGGGATTACTTTAATAAGCATTCAGGTGCTTTAGGGCTTTGCCTTGAGAGAAATCTTGAGGCCGTAATTTTGTGGGGGAAGGGCTGTAAAATAAGTAGAAGTATTTCAGGCTTTTATAAGAGAATGACATTATTCAGTTCTTTCTGTAATCACAGACTGAAGCATTGTATTCCTTTTCATTACCCAGGTCACTTCTTTTGCCTGTGCTGAAACTATCTTCCCACATATAGGAAGATGCTTTTATTATGTGCATTGAGTAAACTGAATGCAAACTGGTTTTTCTAGTGACAGTGAGTCATGAATATGAGGGAATTGATGGACTCTATTATTAAGAAGTCTTATTGTGGTTAGAGTTAATGCAGTTTCAGTAAAATGGCACCGCTTTTATAACCATATGTGAGTTTGCTTCCTGCTTATAAGATCTATATTTGTGCTGATAAAATACCACTTGGTAAGAAAATTAATTCTAAGGGTTAGAAATGACCTACCTTTTACAACGCACGAGGTTAGCTTCTTGTTTACTTTTAAAGGCTTATAAAGCGCTTCAGTATTGCAA